TTGAACTGTTATTTAAAATTAAAAAAAAAAAAGTAATTATTTTCCATGGTTGAGGTAACGCTTATTCACTCTTAATAAATACTGCATTTCTCATATTTTAAATTAGAAGTCTTAATTTTTAAGGTTGTGTATAATGTAATTAGACAGATACTTATTTTTTCCTTAAAATGTGCTTATAGGTGCTTATTTTTTTAACTAAAATGTGGCTATGAACCCTGAAATTATCGATGACAATATGGATATTCAAACTGGACTTGCTAAAGATAATGTTACCATTCAATCCCCAAAAGTTAAGCCAATTATTATAAAACTGGAAGTCAAATACAATGATTTCCTAAAAATTCTAAAAGCTGAAACTAATTTTCAGTTAGGTCTTTCCTTCTGTTGGTTTTTATGCATGGTAGTTTGATTGGCAATATTGAAGAAGGGCGAAAGATAACAATGTTGCTTGTAGAAGATCAATAATAATGTGGGAAAAGGTAAAAACTTATCTTTTTCTTCTTCATGGTGGGTCACTAAAAGAATTATTCTGATAAGTGAACTCATTATTCCAGTCTAAAAATGGGAGGCTTCCTTTTAACAAAAATGTCTAAAAATGGGAGACTTTGTTTAACACCTTTAACAACACAATATATTTATTATTTACAAAGAATTTAAATGATAAAAGGAGACTAATTACAAATATGGTAAGCAGCATTCATTTCTGCTTCCGTTCATTATTGACTCCACTTTCTCTCCATAGTTTATTTTATTCTTCAGTTTGTAAGGAATGAAAACTGCCGAGAGGCTGGTTCAGCAGTGACGTCCTCCTATCTTGCAGAATAGTAGCTAGGTTTTTAAGCACCCGGGGGACTGTTGAAGATTTCACGCCCCCTTGTCCTTCTAGTGAGTCATCAGTTGTAGTAGTTGGCTGTGGGCATTTCCTCCCAAAACAGGACCTTCAGAATCATCTGACAGTTCTAAAGGATAAACACGTTTGCATCAGTGGTTTTAAGATTCAGTGGTAATCCAAGTTCAAAGTTTGTTTGGTGGTTCAGCAAAACATAATATCACATCAAATATGAATAAATCAAAATCAATAATCACCAATCAATAAAATATAAATTTATTTAATTAAATATAATAATATCTCAATCTCAGAATCTCAAATCATCACTGTGTCACACCTTCCATCGAGTAACTGCACACTCGATGATGCTCTCAGCGCCCTCTAGTGTTACGCGGGTCTTACCATACGTTTTATAGGTATTCAATATTGACATTTGAACAGCTTGTTTTTTTACGACCGGTGTGTTTAGCATCTCCAACTGATCCAGTCTCCACGATTTTTTCAATTAATCTTTTCTCAGTTAACGAGGTTAAAACACTATTTTTACCATATTTTGTATAAAATTTTCGAACTGCAGCTGCCGAACTTTCATTATTTAAAAAATATTATTCAATAACGAAGACATGTTGTCGTATAGTATAACGCTCCATTTTCACTAACCCTAAACTCTCGGCTTTTAAACTGTTCTTTTTTCATTTTTGCCAACAACTTAATGCAAAAATGGCGTCAAATTCAAATCTTACGTTAATTTTGGGACACCCTTTACTTTCTGATAAAGCTTAGAAAACTATTCTTTAGAAATATTTAGCATTGTCCAGCAAGGTATTATCCCACAACATGTGAGATACCACATGGTTACAAAAAGCGTGGCAATTATTCATCGATTGTAGTAAGGTTCTGACTCCGGTTGGGATGATTTTTAATCATTCTGAAGAAATGAAGTTCTTAAATGAAAAAAGTTTCTTGTGGATTGTGAAATGCTTAAGGCAGTGATTCAGGGACCAGCCAAGAGAATTCTACCCTGCTGAAATACAAAACTTATGACCAGATGGGGAAAATATACTGCAGTGATAAGACAATATATTGAAACATAGTTTCAGTTTTCTTGTTACAGTTGCGTAGAAATTAAACAAGTCTTGCTAACTACTGGATGCTTTATGTATAGTTTCAGCACTCCATAACAGTGAATTGTTCAAAATTGTTTTATTTGTAGACCTTTTATTGCAAACTTGCCAACCTATGACTTTTTTTTTTTTTTTTAAGTAATCAGAAGAATTTTCTCAATGACAAAAATATTTTTTTAATGTTAAAAGTATGCTTTTTCTCTTATATAAAAAAATATATATTTTTAATAATGAATTAAGTTTTAATAACGACTAATATATGAAAATTCAGTTATTTAATTCTTAAATGCAAATAGTACAAAAATATTGACATGTTAAAAAACAGTTTTGTTATTTGTACCTTTTAACAGAAAAATATTATTTTAATCAGTTTTCATACAGATGCTAAGAAAAGAAATTGCAAATTTTTCTTTCATTATGAAATTTTGTTCAAAGCAATTACTACGTAGGCCTGCTGTTGCTAATAAAAGTTTCTCTAGTGTTTCATTACTAATATTGAAATAAATTTAGTCCTTGTTTGAGTAACAACACTGAAAAATCCTTGCGCATTCTGCATTATTAAGGGGAATCGTCAGGATGGCTGTTATTCTAGATAGTTCACTGTACTTTAAAATCCATCATCACCTTTCAGTTTTCCGATTAAACTCAACTGGGTGTCTAGTCTTGCAGGTTTTGTAACTCTATTCAAGTTTTCTAATTGAAGATGCAAAACTATGACTAATTTATCAGTTGCAACATCAATATCATAGTTATTCAAAACTAAATTAAGTAAAACTGGAAATGCATTTAAAAAATATCATATATCAGAGAAATGCATTTACTACAGAAAAAACATCTGCAACTTTAGCATGTGCGATCGCTGATCGAAAATTTAAATACTCTGCAATCACATATTTGTCAGAAGTAGCTTCCAACATGGATATAAAACTTATGTTTGTCTTCCTATAAAGTTCTTTCACTACTTTGTTAATTGCAGCCCCTATCAAATCTTAATCTTTTCTTCTGATTTTCTATTTTACTTTAAATTATGACATATGGAATTAGAAGACACAACAAAGGTTGGTTTTACAAACTTTAACACAGTGTCTTTAAACAGATCACTAATCATTGATTGATGCAATTCTACACTGTAGAATTGTGTTAAGAACATCGAATAATGCCAAAATGGAGTGTACAGAACACAAAAAGCTTTGTTAAGGTCCAAAGACGAAAACATAAATATTCACTCTAAACAAGAGTAATCGGAAAATGTTTCTCTTCTCGAGGAATTTTTTTTTTTATTTTGAGAGAACTTTGTTTACGCTTATATTTTGTAGTATTATTTTAAGAACTTCCAACTAAATTACTCACCGGTGCACACATTACTTTTTCTTACACCTATTTTTAACAGTGATAGAAGTAATTACATCTTCATTTACTTTAGGTATTTTATAACTTTCAATAAAGCCTTTTACATTAACTCTAGAAGAATTTATTTCTTTCTTAAAATATAAGAAGTGGGTTACACTGATCGAAGATTCTAGATAAATGTTTCTTTAACCGTTTGACTGCTACGCGGCACAAAAGTGCTGCGTTCATTTGTCTCGAAAACCACAACGTAGTTAGTTATTTTAGGATGCACTCATGTTACAAAGTACGCATAAGGTCAGACTATGCAAGTTCACACCCATGTAGCAACAAAGACACGCTGAAACTCGCAGCACAAGAGTGCTGTGTCGCAGTTTTCGAGACAAATGAACGCAGCGCTTTTGCGCCGCGTAGCAGTCAAACGGTTAAAGATAGCCAGCATGTACAAGCATATTTCAAAATGTTTATTATTTCAGGATTATATGCAGCAGTTGTTGTTTCAATTTTCCCTTCTTTCAGAACTCTTTTGAGGATGATGATAAAAATCAACAATGTGTTCATCCACACTTTTACTGGTAAAGAAGCTGCCCCTTTTTCAGTTGCTAAATTTAAGAGATGACAATTTGAAAATCTAAATTTTCTTTTTTTAAAATGCCTGCAACACCAGTCTTCAAGCATACCATTACTGGTGTATTGCCCACATCAAGTGCTAAGCAATTATTCAGAGGAATGCATTTTCTTTTAAAGCTTTAAAAATTACCTGTGCTATATCAAATCCTATCAAGCTCCTTCTAAAGTGGCGACAGAAAATAAACTACACTAAATTTCTGAAGACTCCGGATTTAATAAAAGAAAAAAAGGGGGGATACAGTTTTCCATCAATCCATCTATAGAAAAGCAGAATAGAGCTGTTTTAATGCAATCAATACCTGAAGTTTTTTTTTTCATACCTGTTTCTTTAACAATTGTAGCCATTTTTGTCCTTGTACTTGAGTATATCTTAGTGATTTCACTATTGTGAAGGACAAATATTCTGCATCAATAACGTCTGGGTCCTTTGCCTGCACAGAATTTTTTAAAGTTTTTTTCAATACAACTTATGTTTTCATTGCGTTTTAGCGTATGCACATTTTAAACATCAGCCCTTCCACTGTGATGAAATAATAGAAGAAAAGTCATCTGTATACAATTTTTGAAAGGTACATGAGTATTTTGCATTTTTTTTGCAGATTCACAGACATAACTAAGACAAAAGATTGCAATTTCTTAAACTATTTATTCAAAGCATGTGATGCTTGGAGCACTCGGTGGCAAGATGCTACATAAAAATCATGAGAAATTTTAAGAATAAGAGAAAGTTGGGAGCAATATGTTGTGAACTGGGAATCTTCCACCTAAACTGGGAGAGTAGGCAACTTTGTTATGTTAATGTATTGATTAGTTACAAAACATTCTCATAATTTTTATGCAAATGGAAGTATTTTTATTTAAAATAAATTTAACTTAGTATCATCTTAAATACATCAAGTTATCACTGAGAAAATATAGATCTCTTGATTGTGATGATGAGTACTTGATTTAAGAGTAGAACTTAGAATAATGAATGTAAATGTTTAATCTGCGCATGATTTTAGAGTTAATGAAACTACAACTATGATAAACGTTTATCTAGTGTCCCATGCAATTAAAGAATAATTTCATAAAATCATGAACAATTTATTTTTGAAATTTATACATAAAACTAATTAGCAATGGAGTGAGTGGACATATATAATTAATATTAATGACAATAGTTTTATTATCATACTTCAATTCCATGTAGAACTAATTACAGTACATAATAATTTAAAGATAACTAATATTCTTTTTTGAATATGCTATCTACAACAAAGTAAAGCAAATATCACAGAAATTAAGCACTGTACAAAATATTTACATGAATATGAATTGGCCAACTCACTTTGCTTTAAAATAAATGAGTATAAACTAATTAGAAAAAATTAACTGCATACTTATAAATTGTGTCTAATAAAGTATAACAAATAAGCAAAACATATTGACACTTTACTAATTAATTAATGCTTGGAATTAATAAAATAACGTTTTAAAAATATCAAAAGAATTAGAGCATTTATCAGTTTGCGAATTGTCCAAGTTAGCAATGCTTTAAAATAATGGTACTTTCTGATTATCTACACCTCCAGTTTCAGCATTCTGTAGAATTATAATTTTTCGAGTATTACGCTGCAATGTGCGTATTCGAGCATACATGTACACACATTTAAGTGCACATAACTTTACATGTTTTCTGTTGAACACTGATCAGCGAAATGATAGTCAAAGTCCATTTTTGGGGATGGGATTAACAATTAATCGTTATGGAACAGTACTTACGTATGAACAGAATATAGCTATTATGAGCTTATGTATGAAAATACCATTCATACACATACTTATGTATGACCAGAGTATTCATGAGCCATAAAAGTAGCCAAACGTGTTTTGCCACTGAACTAGCAGTTTTCCATGTCAATGCAGATAATCAGAAAGTACCAAATTAATATACAAACTGAGAAAATGTTTGGAGATACACCTTTTCTGCAGCTTTTTAGTGTAAATTTTTATTACCTTCATTTCTATTGAAATATTATGGTAAAATTATCTCTCTGTTATTTCACCAAAGTGTTATAAATAAATGTATTTAACAAACTATGAGCTATAAAAACTTCAGAGGTAAAAATAATTACTGTGATTACAAATAACTGATTCATTTCTGTAATTTGTTTTACATTTCCTACACACTTTATTCAATAATATAAACTATATACAATTTTATACAATTTAACTGTACACAGATGATTATTTTAATATCGACTACTGCGCAACAGACTGCGGCCAAAGTTTAATGCAATTTTTTTATGATTTTGATATTTGCCCCAAGCTCCGAATGGTACTATCACAGCAGTAGCATTATCTTCTGAACCAAACTGCAAGGCTTGGTCGGTGACAAACCCAGCTCCTTCTGCAGGATCATGACAAGTGTTAACTGCATCACAGATTTCTTGATCACTCATTGCAAAATTTACCCCATCTGTAGTCAGTATTAAGAAGGCATCTCTACCATGTTTTATCTGAAAAATATTAAATAAAATGATCTGAAAAATACAGACCAAAATGATTTAAAATATATGAAACATTTACTATGAAATTATCTTTATATACACATTTTATGATTGTAAATTTTAATTCTATTTGAATTTTTATTCTTCAGAAAACTAGACTTAATTTCTCCTTCATATTACTTTCTCTTTTTTTCCAAACACACATAAAAAATTTTGAAAATAATGTTTTATATTGCACAGTTCTCATCCTGGCAGCTGTTGATTTAATCCTGATTATTACAGAAAAGGATCTGATGGTGGTACAATCAAAGTATAGCAAATTAATTATTATTTTTCATTTTTCAGGAATGGAAAACTAGAATCCTAAATTTTCCTATTAACAATTTCATCTAGAAAGGTATTTAACCTGCCAGAATACATTCGGTTTTACAAATTATCAGAATTTCAGCATGCCCTTCTCATCATTTCAGCATCCCTTATTATTGATTAAAATTTACTCATTACTAAATTTGTCATTTTATTTAATATTTCAAAAATATTCAGAATTATTAGTAATAATTTTCAATAGTTCAATTATAAATTTTATTAAAAATTAATAAAGTTTTAATGGACATTTTTGTGTATTTTGTATATATATTTTTCTGTATACAGTCAAAAGTCTTTAATCCGGAATGATCTATAATCTGGACCTCAAAGTTACAAACTTTCTGCGCATGCGCATAATACGTTATGCACGCGCGTTTAATAATGTATAACGGATGGTATAAGCTAAGCTAAAATTATCTAATTATCTATTTCAGTTAATGTTGCAGATTGTGTTGGTACTTTATCTTCTAACTGGATCCGGCTTATTATTTTTTGCAGACTGTTAGAGCAATTTTATTAAAAATTAAGCTTGAACTTTCGATTATATCAAAAAGAGTTTCCAATTCTGGAGCTGCCAAAGGATCTACAAAGCGAAAGCATGTTTCGATGTCCATTAAACAAGAAGTGGAATTCCTGCAAAAAATGGATAAAGGCATATCTGTCTCAAAATTATGCAAGAAGTATGGCATTGGAAAGTCCATTATATAAGACACAAGAAAAAGGAACTTTTTGAATTTTTTGTGGAAGCATCAACTTACATTTAAAGAAATGTTTAATAAAGTAAACAAAAAACAACTTATTTTTTAAAGAAATGTTTAATAAAGTAAACAAATAAATATTAAGCTTTTTTTTGTAAATTTTGATACCCTTTAAATCATAATTGTTCTTTATTTCATAAGTTACAATTTCATATTTTTAATTGTATAATTGTGTGTGCATGCGCTACGTTTATGCACGCACGTTTAATGTATAACAGAAGGTATAAGCTAAGCTAAAATTATCTAATTCAGTTAATGTTGCAGATTGCGTTGTTCCTTAATCTTCTAATTGGATCCGGCTTATTATTTTTTGCAGACTCTTAGAGCAATTTTATAAAATTAAGCTTGAACTTTCGATTATGTCAAAAAGAATTTCTGATTCTGGAGCTGCCAAAGGATCTACAAAGCAAAAGCATGTTTCGATGTCCATCAAACAAAAAGTGGAATTGTTGCAAAAAATGGATAAAGGCATAATCCTTTGTTTCTCTAACCATTCCAAAATCTGTTTACCAATTTCACACTGCTCTGCGGTAAGGGGGCGACGTCGCAGCGCGCAATGAACTGGAAGTTGATCTGTCAGCACTGCCCTTATCTTTAGCGCAGCTGTTTTTATTTTATTCGGCTTATAATTCCTTACTAAATGTAGTATTTCATCTCGATGTACTCCGTCTTCGGGATGATTTAAATCAAATTCTTCATCATTATAAATATCACGAATACACATCAAATAGTTTTCTGGTTGCAATTTTCTAATTTCGACTATGCGTAATGTATGCTTTACGCATGTGCGAGTTGAAACAAATGTTTAATAAAGTAAGCAAATAAATATTAAGTTTTTTTTTTTTTTTTTTTTTTTTTTTTTGTAAATTTTGATACCCTTTAGATCATAATTGCTCTTTATTTCATAAATTACGGCTTCATATTTTTAATTTTATAATTTATGCATGCCATCTTACCAGATTTAAATTGATGATCTATAATCCAGAATTGCGGAGGTCCAGTGGCGTAGCTAGGGTGGGGCAAGGGGGGACATCTGTCCCCGGGCGCAGTATCCAAGGGGCGCCAAATTGATGCTACGGAATTTTTTAATGAAATTTTTTCCATTCTTGGCACATAGAAAGGGGTGCAAATTCTTCAGTTGTTCCCGGGCACTGGAAACTGTTGCTATGCCCCTGCCGAGGTCCCGACGAGTCCGGATTAAAGAGTCGTTAATTCGGACACCCATAATCCGGACCTCAAAGCTACAAACTTTCTGTGCATGCGTAGCGTTGAAGCTCATAATTCCTTACCAAATGTAGTTTGGCTTATAATTTCTTACTAAATGTAGTAGTTCATCTCGATGTACTCCGTCTTTGATATGATTTAAATCAAATTTCTTGTCATTATAATTCGCTTCCGATAAAGAAGAAAGTGACATTATTGAAAACGAAAAAATTTCGATTGACAAATTAGTCGGTATTCTCGACAAAGCAATTATAGTACTTTAACAGCGGAACTTTGTAACTGAAGAAGAAATTATGTCTGTTTATAGAACTAAAGAGAAAGTATTATCACATAAAATGAAGCAACTTAAACAACTTACATTGAAAGAAATGTTTAATAAAATAAACAAATAAATATTAAGCCTTTTTTTTTTTTTTTTTTTGTAAATTTTGATACCCTTTAGATCGTAATTGTTCTTTATTTCATAAACTACGGTTTAATATTTTTAATTTTATAATTTCTGCATGCCATCTTACCAGATTTAAACTGATGATCTATAATCCAGAATCGCCGAAGTCCCGACAAGTCCGGATTAACAACTTTTGACTGTATATACAAAATTCTGTTATATACACAGAAACATGGAAAACATAAGGTTAATAATACTCAAGTTAATGATTCATTTCTGTAATTTGTTTCACACACAAAGCTATGCTGTTTTAGAACCATATTTATATTCTACATGATCACTTTTACATAAAATTGAATAATAAAAGTAAATGTTTTTGGGCTATTAACAGCTTCTGGTATAACCCTATAAAATGCCAGATTGCATCAAAGTTTTACTTTAAATATACAGTGTAATCTAGAATCACAAATGTCTCATTTCACCAATAATCCAGTTCACAAACAAATTATCTGAACAAAAAAACCCTTGGATACCAAACGTAGTCTCAAATTACATTCAATTCAGCAACGTATTATTTTCAAAGGTTTTGGGGGATAATCAAGTGGTTCTTAACCTTTTAACTAAGGCATGCCATCTAAACAAAAACTGAAAAACTTTAGTGCCACCACATTTTTATAAGAATTATTTTTATTTTGCCATTTGCACAACCTATTGGCTATTTGTATTAAATACACTGCATAAAAAAATATATAATTAAAAATTGGTTACCATTTTAATTATCAAAATTTAAGTTATAATACTTTTAACTCTAAAATTAGTTTGAAGTTTGGCCCTGTGTTTTGGCCTCCTCGGTGATTGCGGTGATTTGTGCCCAGAGGGCGCACCGCACAAAAAGTTAGTTGCGTTACAGAACGTAAGGGAAGCGGACACGCCAAAATGTCGGGCGTATTACCGCTAATTGAGGTAATTGCATCGTATCTGTCAGGTGGGCAGAAAAACTAATATGATGTATCAATTCACATGCCAGGTGGGCAGAATATGTCTATCATGTACATGCCAGGAGGCATAACGCTTGTAAATATGCCAGGTGGCATACGACTTGTAAATAAATTGTAAATAAATGTACAGTAAGATATCTTGGTGCAATATATCAAGGAACACGCATCAACAACCTTCTGATCATTTGGATACGTACATTTTTTTCTGGTGACACCGGACTTGATTTGTGGAGATGAAGAATGGACGAAGAAAATTAGTGAGTTCATGACTGAAAAGCCAGGATTTAACGCGAAGAAATTCGAGGTAGGCCGTTTTTCATTTTTCCAGTTTTGAATAGAATTGTTGAATAAAAATCTTGGTGATTATTATAGTTGATAGAATCTAATGGTAAAATGGAGGCTATGAATAAGGCAAAGAAGTGCGTACGGTGGACGCATAACTTAACTACCAAGTTGATGATAGTAAAATAGATTCTGCATTGTTAGAAAGAGGGTGAATCCGCGGATGTAGAAATTAAAAGAATTACTCGAAATGTTACTTGAAAAATTCGCAGTTGTTGAAAACAATATGATATTCTGAGATTGGAAAACTTATAATTACGGAACAGGAGTTGGAAACAGAAGTAATTTCCGCGCAGGAATATCAGGAAAGAATCGTATAAGTTTTAAATGTAAAATTCAGCAAAAAATTAAGAAAAAGCGCGTGTAAAGTTGAATCTAGAAAATTCTAGTGAGGAAACTATGCATCTGCCGACAGTTGAAAACTTGTGAAAGTGAATATTTTAAAATTGCCAGAAATTAACGAATTACAAAATATTACGGTGATCCTTGTTTCTTGGCTTGAATTCCTGGAATCAGTTTAGTAATTCCATTCAACCAAAACGAAAGTCTCAGTTCGGTTGACAAGTTTTGTTATTTAAAATCGCTTTTGGGAGGTTTAGCTTAAATGCTATTAGTGGATTAACATTTACTAGTGAAAACTATACGGTGGCTGTTGATATACTAAAAAACCGTTTCGGCAGAGATGACCTGCTAATTAATGCACATATGAATAAATTGTTGAGTTTTAGAACCTGTAAAATATTCCGGAAATACGGCTTCTTTGAAAGGAAGCTGTATGACGATATAGAAATACAAATAAGGAAATTTAAATTCCTTTAAATGTTACTAGTGGTTCTTATGGACCATTTATTATCCCCTATTTTGTTAAAGTTAATACCCGAGAATTTAACTCTAGAATTCACTAGGAAAAGAAGTGATAAACAAAATTTCGAT